GAAGCGCGTGAAGAGCCATCATTTCCACAAGACACTCGGGCTCGAACAGAAAGATTTCTTCACGCCGTCCAGGAATTCTCGAAACGCCCTCGTAACGTCACAGTGAAAGGGAAAGATCGGCAGATAACTGTAAGACCTAGCCCTGTCTATGTAAGCATACGAGTCCAAGTTTTTGTTCGAATCTGGTGTCTTTGAGTCGCCCTCCCCTTCTCACCTACTCTTGTAGGAAAATTACAGCTGTCAAACGCGTGTCATTCACAGTAATTTGTCCGTAACGCTTTTATAAAAGACCGGGCTTGTTCTCAACAAGCGAGCGTATACGTCAAAATAACGTCCCTATTCATTTCATTTTTTTTCCTTCACTCATTTCAACATTTCTGTTCATGATTTTTTTTCACGACTCTATCTGGAACCGCGCATTGAAATATGAAGTGGCCTCTTCAGTTAAATTATGTCGTCTACAACTTGTAGCGACCAGCCATCGAGCTTGCGTTTAATGCGCTCTCGTGTTTGTATATAAGAAAGCCAGTTTCCCCGGGCTCGCTTTCTGACATGCCTCTTTTCATCACCGCACTGAATCTAAGATTCAGACGGGGAAATACATGTATTATTACAACCGCAGAAGAGGCCCGCTGCGTTGCCTCACGGATAATGATGCCTTTTTTCGCTTGAAATTCCCATTTGTTATCTTTCCTTGGCCTGTAAAGGGTTTTCTTTCTCCTTTCACGTGAGTTGTTTAGCTGGGTGCCCGAGGAGAAGGTAACGAGAGAGTGATTCTGAGAGCGAAATTTTGTTTCCAAACTCTATTCTGAGCCCAAAAAAGCGCCCCTTGTGGGCAGGTTGGCAAGATAATTATATCTTAGTCGTTTGTATCAATAATGGGTTGTCAATGCTGCAGATTATGCCACCTTCAGATGTAAATTTCGTCGAATGCCCCATATCTTTGAAGCAGTTGAGTGCGATATTAGACGCTTTTTGTCGTGTTGCTGTATTTAGCTTAAAGTATAATAATATACTGAACAAATTTCTAAAATGAGAACCTGAAACTATCTTCGACTACAGCATACTTTGTGTGTTGATTTTACACACGCGTAAAGAGAATAAAATTAGATCCCAGAAGCATCTTCTTATTGGCTCAAAGAAATTATAATTATTATGATTTTGATGATTTTGATGATGATGATGATGATGATGATGATGATGATGATGATGATGATGATGATTATTATTATTAAGCGGTTTTGGGTTCACCCTTTGACAAGTCAGAGGGTTTTAAAAGAGTATTTTGTGAAACTGCATGAAGATTTGAGATCAGGCCCTCCCAGGTTTTCAAACTACATGTATTATCGTATGAGGTCTTGTTGTTGAGGACAGGCTTCTTTTGAACGATAAAAAATAAATTGTTCAATCTAAGTGGGATCGCTATCCATTTTCTTTTCTTGCGGAAGTGAAACAATGTATTGTGTACCTCTGTCAAGTCTGGTGCACTGAGTGAAAAAATGTGGGGAGTGGCGAGGCCTTGTCGAGTCCGGAGACAGTTTGGTTGCCTATGCGCGCCATGTGTCAGTTTTATATGTAACACAAGAGATTTGAGCAACAGTTGCGTTGCCGGAAAGTTGTGACAAAAATCCGAGTTGCCTGTGCGCGCGGTGCTTATCTATTTCAAGGTTTACATTTGAGCGAGAAAACAATTGCGCAACTAAAGTTGTCCTGTTCGCGTCTAGCCTTACACATTGTGGAATCGATTGTGCCGGTGGTTTATAGACTTCCGGTTGAGAGGGGACAGCGACCTTACAAAACATCTAAAATCAAATTTTTAACAAGTTGCCTAATGCCAGTAAGCTGAGATTTATGAAACAGAGTGTATACAGACCCGGTAACCGGGAACAAAGTCACGAAGGAAACAGACCCGGTAGGGTAACTCTTTTGTGACTTCGGAAAGTTTCAGCGCCCAGACCCGGTAGAGTGTGTGTGTGTGTGTGTGTGT